TTGAAGGGTCAGAGGCGGTGAGGTTGAGAGTTGCCATGTGGAGATCAGGTTCAAAAATGCTGAAGATGCCTGTGAATGGAGAAAAGCACAGCAATGGCCATTACATGGTGTCTAACCAATGGCGTGGCAAATAGTTTAGAGTTATTAGCACTCTGAAAAGGGGGCTGTGAAGGGAATTGCCAACATTGACAGCTGGCAATTTGAAGGGTCAGAGGCGGTGAGGTTGAGAGTTGCCATGTGGAGATCAGGTTCAAAAATGCTGAAGATGCCTGTGAATGGAGAAAAGCACAGCAATGGCCATTACATGGTGTCTAACCAATGGCGTGGCAAATAGTTTAGAGTTATTAGCACTCTGAAAAGGGGGCTGTGAAGGGAATTGCCAACATTGACAGCTGGCAATAGGTAATTTAGATCATAGTTAAGTCCAGAGAAGTCCCAAGAGAGAGCTAACCAAGCCAAGAAAATGGGTTTGAATGTAACGATATGAACTCAAGACAGGGACCTGGATGTTCTTGTACCCAGCTGTCTGAAACCTGCTCACAGTGAAAGCATGGAGAGAAATTCAGCAAAATATTGGGACCCAGAAGGAGTAGGATGAAGACTGATACAGAAAATGCAATGCCTCGAGACCAGTAACTCAAGCTTTCACCCTTCTCTGGACTCCTCTGTGTTGTATTGGCAACTTTCTCATACTGGATATTGCAGAACTAAAGGGGTTCAGCTAAGGGAAATGAGAATGATCAAGGGACAAAGGAAACCCTCAGACGGTACGTCTACACTGCACATTAATTTTGAAATAAGCTATTTTGGAATACTTATTCTGAAATAGCTTGTTTCAAAATAGCAGGCCTACACTGCAGGGAAGCCCCAAAATTAGTCCAACGCAAGCTTCCCTAATGTAGATGTGCTATCTCGATTTAGAGCCCCTAGAGGAACTGGGTAGGAATAACTTAGAATGGCCCCCGCGAGGGGCTATTTCTAATAGCAGCAGTGGAGCATCTACACACGCCTTATTTTGAAATAGCTATTTCAGAATTGGTGTTATTACTCATAAAAGGAGGTTTACAGATTTCGGAATAAGTCACCCGTTATTTTGAAATCATTTCAAAATAATGGAATGTCTGTGTAGATGCTCACATAGTTATGTCGGAATAACGGCCGTTATTCTGAAATAACTTTGCTGTGTGGACATACC